AAAGGGCTTTGAGGCTCCTTAATGAAGACGGTCCTGGTGTCCAGGCTTGGGACCATGCAGAGTCACCTGCTGGGCACATAGCCTTGAAGTACTCTCAGTTGTAGCTGGGGGGCTGAGGGTACAATGAGCCAACAAGTCAGTAGGCCAGACTCATGACCATTGCTTTGTCCCCTTTTCTCCAAAAAGGAAACACAGGCACAGATATCCCAGCCTTCTAACCAGAGCAAGGCTGCATTTGCATCTGACAGAATCCTCAGGGAATCTGCCTCCTGCAACCATTAATACTGGACACTTTGTGCAGAGAATTGGGATATGAGACTTGCGGCAGAGACACGGATGAACCATCCACGCAGGTACTGCCTGCTTCCTCTGTATCCCACAGAGCCTACTTCTAGTCTTTAAATTCAAGGACTGTTCTGTGCTTTATCTTCCCAAGGAGAGTATAGCACAATTTCTCCCTCCAGAACAAGACCCCTGAGAGAGATTCTGCTTCTAGCCCATGGATTGGAGAAGGGTATATTAGAGCTCAGGTGTGTAAAGTGAAACTTGTCAGAAATCTTAGTATAAAGACAGTTCAGAGCCGGGCGTGGTGTCTCACGTCTATAACCCTAGCAGTTTGGGAGGCTTATGCGGGCAGAGTGCCTGAGCTTAGGAGTTTGAGACCAGCCTGGGCAACATGGTGAAACTCCGTCTCCACTAAAATGCAAAAAAATTAGCTGCGTGTGGTGGTGCGCACCTGTAGTCCTAGCAACTCAGGAGGCCAAGACACGAGAATTGCTTGAACCTGGAAGGTGGAGGCTGCAGTGAGCTGAGATTGCACTACTGCAGTCCAGCCTGGGCAACAGAGTGACACTCCGTCTCAAAACAAAAACAAAAACAAAACGCAAAACAACAGTTCAGGTCCCAGCACCTTTTGCAAATTCTCATCTCATAGAAGAGCTTTTCATTCTAAATTTGAGTCCCTGTCGGGAGACTTCAGATGAATCTAAGCCTTGGTTTCATCTACGGGACAGGAATAATAATGCCATGTTGACAGCCTGTGAGGTCTTATAAGCATGGAGAATACCTGTGAGGACTCAACAGCACCCTTTCCCCTTTCTGCGCATACACTTCTACCCCCTTTCTGTTGGAAAGGGCTCATTTCCCCGTTATGTGGCTCTAAAGGGTGACACCACTTCCGTGTAGAACTTACCTCTGTTCACAGTTGATGAGTCAAGTAGTGAGCTCGAGTCCATTCAGTTCAGTTTTGCTGCCAAATGAACTTACTTCAAATTTATATTTTTTAAAAATTCTGCTTAGATTTCCAGGGCACTTTGAATTTGGGGATTGTGGACCATGGACCGTGGAATTGTAAGTAGTTGAGTCTAGGCATATTTGGATCATACACGTTTGTCTTCTCTATCAGAAATGAATTCTTTGAAGGCAGGGATGAACACCACCCCTAGAGGGTCCTATAGTCACCTCAAGTTTGGCATGTCCAGAACTGCACCTAAATAGGGAGTGAGAAACCATTAGATATTAGACATTGAAGGGAAGCAGGGAGCTTGAAGGTTTGGGGTAAAGTCGAGCCATAAAATGAACCTGACGTCTTCCTCCCCACCCATTTCTCCACCTGTGTCCTCTGTTGTCTTCTCCATCAGTCAACTTAGAAGTCTGAGCCACTTGCACTCTCCACCCTCCTTTGCTCCGCCACGTCCGATAAGCCTCCAAGACTGGCTGATTTTACCTCCTAAATATTTCTTATTTTTCCACGTTCTTCTCCATCTCTTCAGGGGTTGACATCATCATCTCTTGCCTGGGTTATATTCGAGCCTCTGAATTGGTCTTATTTCCTCTAGTTTTGTCCTCTCCCATTCCCATTCTTTCTGAGCCCTGCTAGAGTGATTGATGGATAATGCAAATCTGAATATGTCACTTGTTTAAATTTTACCATTCAGTGACCAGCCTGATCAACATGGTGAAACCCCATCTTTAGTAAAAATACAAAAATTAGCCAGGCATGGTGGTGTATACCTGTAATCCCAGCTACTCAAGTGGCTGAGGCAGGAGAGTCTCTTGAACTAGGAGGGAGATGCTGCAGTGAGCCGAGATTGTGCCACTGCACTCTGGCCTGGGTGACAGAGTGAGACTCTGTCACAAAAAATAAAATAAAAATAAAAAAGGCTGATCACAGTGGCTCACGCCTGTAATCCCAGCACTTGGGGAGGCTGAGGCGGGCGGATCACGAGGTCAGAAGATCAAGACCATCCTAGCTAACACGGTGAAACCTCATCTGTACTAAAAATACAAAAAATTAGCCAGACATGATGGCTGGCACCTGTAGTCCCAGCTTCTTGGGAGACTGAGGCAGGAGAACTGCTTGAACCTGTGAGGTGGAGGTTGCAGTGAGCCAAGATCACACCACTGCACTCCAGCCTGGGCGACAGAGCGAGACTCCATCTCCAGATAAATAAATAAAATGAATGTGGCTTTTTTGGTTGCTTTTTACCCTGGCCATTGGCATCCCCATCTAGCTTGGAAGATGGGTTGGTCATTAGGGAAGGCATGTCCTCCCATTATGGGTTGAATTGTGTCCCTCCAAAATTTATATACTGAGGTCCTAACACCCAGTGCCCTCTAATGTGACCTTATTCGGAAATGGGGTCATGGCAGATGTAATGAATTTTAGATGAGGTCACACTGGAGGAGGATGGGCCCCTAATGCTGTAAGACTGATGTCCTTATAAACAGGGGAACTTTGGACACAGACACACACAGGGACAATGTCACATGAACATAAAGGTAGAGATAGGGACGATGCTTCTATAAGCCAAAGAATCCCAAAATTTGCCAAGCAAATCACCCACATCTAGGAGAAAAACATGGAACAGATTCTCCCTCACGGCCCTTAGAAGGAATCACCCCTGCCAACTCCTTGATCTCAGACTTCTTGCCTCCAGAACTGAGATGGTACATTTCTGTCATTTTAGCCACACAGTTTGTGACCCTTTGTTAGGCAGTCCTAGCAAACTAATCTACCTCCCCAGGGACGGTTAAGACTGAACTGTGGGGCAGGAACCTTGCTGGGCTGGGCAGGGCTGCAGTAAGGAATTTTGGGGCTCAGCATGCCTCCCTAACTCAAGTGCTGGAGGGAGAGCACCCAAGGACCCCAAGTCTGCCTTTGCCACCCTCTCAAGACACAGATTTGCTGATGGCATGAAATCTTGGATTCCCATTTTTTCTTTTTCAATCCGAGTCAGAGCCCATGGGGTGCCCTTCAGGAGCTGTGGGTGCAATGTTCTTTACTTGTCAGAATTAGCCAAGAAGTGAGTTGCTCTTGCCTTTTTCCAAAGCATGATCCCCACTGCTGGTCCATCTGATAGGTACTCTTGCAAAAGAGGAAAGGATATGTTCCATGCCTTTAACCACATGGAGACTGGACCAGAAAGAATTCCTTTAGTCACTACTACATGTGCCCTTAGTGATGCTAAGCACACCCCCGAGCAGGTTGGAGAACTCTCATAATACAGATTGTCGATGCAAAATAACTTGTTGGAGTGCTTAGTCAATTTCCAACCATTCTTTCTTCTCTGCTGGATCTCTGGTTGCAGATATGGGTTTGAGCTGTCAGCAAGAATTGTGAATGTTGAGTGTGTGTGTGTTTGAGAGAGAGAGAGATGGATAGAATGACTGACATGTATCTTTGATGGCTGTCCAACCAAAAGAGCCAGGATTTTCAGATTTCTTGAAAACTGTAGTGTTTCAAAATCATTGCCAGGGAGATTTTGAACTTTCATTAAGAAAAACAGGAAACAAGAGGCTTGTAAAACCCAGGGAAAAAATCTGACATGTTGAAGGCACTGATTGACTCCATTTGAGGCGCTAACAAGAACCATGGAGCATCCTGTGTTTCAAATTAGACAGATTCCTCTTGATGAGGGAACAGATACCTTTGAGGGCAGGCCCCTAGTTCACATTTGAAGCACGAGAGACTATTGCCCTCTGCTGGCCAGAGGCTCTTTTCAGCTAAATCCTACCCATCCACCAATGAGGAAAACAAATTCATCGAATCCAGTGGATCCAGGTGGAATTTTTCTCTCTCATCCCTCAACTATGTGTGTGTGTGTGTGTGTGTGAGTGCGTGTGCGTGCGCGCGTGTGTGTGTATTCATTTCACAATCTTGTAGGGAGAGGGTATTTGGTGAGACAGAATAAAGACACAATTTTTAATAGCATACGCATTGAAGTTATAAGAGGCTATCACAATGAGTAGGGAAAAGGGTTATTTTTTGGGTAGATGCTTCAACCTGAAGAATTGCTTTTTCTTACTGATGCTATGACTTAAAGCCTCTTCCGATGATATTGTCAAATAAGAACCTGCCACTGGCCCACCAAGGTAGAGAAAGTGGAGAAAGAGTAGATGTCAGGTCAAGGTGGTGACTCTACAGTTTGCAGTGTCTTTCAGATGGAATCAGGCCAAGGGGAAGTGTAGCGGGACAAAGGGAGGGAAGTAGGCATAAGAAGATTCCTGGCTCTCCTCTTAAGGGGGATCTGTACGACCTGGGAGGCAATTCTTTGAGAAAAGAAAAATATTGTCCATCCTCCCAAACGATTTACTAGGAAGAGTGTGCTTTTTAGGGGGAACAGATACTGCCGGAATGGCCTTCCAGAATTGTGGGGCATTAGTGAGGACACTTATAGCCCTTCTGTTGGAACCCCATTTTGACATATCTGGGATATCAGTAGAGATGCTTGGGTGGGGATGCCCTCTCGGTAGAACTGTTTGCATTTAGATCATTTGCGTTTGAACTATTCACTCATCTATTAATAATAATCAGGCCTTCTGCTATAGTCTCCTCTATCTTCAAAAGTGAAGCTAGCTCTGCATAGCGATGAGCAGAACCGTGATTAAAAACATGGACTCTGGTGTCAGACTGGCTGGATTATAATCCCAGCTGTGTCTCTTACAGCTCTGACCTGGGTGAGCTACATAATCCTACTTTGCCTTCGTTTCCTCATTTATAAAATGGGTATAAATGGTACTTACCATGTAAGTTAATTGTGAGGGTTAAATGAGTTGATACATAAAAACCCCTTCGAACAGTTCCTGGATAATAGTAAACACTCAGAAAATATTGTTCGTCATCATCATCATTATCATAAATGACCAAGATTTAGGAGGGCAAATATGTGTTCCCGCTAATCACCACCTCGTTTTTCTGTGACCACACATGTTCTTGAGAGTGAAAAGAGATAGGCTTGGGTGGTATGGTTGACAGTGCTGTTCCATGAAAGGGCCCTATGTGCAAAGCGACCCCCAAATGTAGAAGGAGCCAAGAAACCAAAGAAAGAGGCAGACAAATCCAGTTTGTCAGTTTTGGATGATTTATTAGGGGGAACTTACAGGCAGAAGCAAGGTCTTGGGTGGTCCCAAGGCAGGCAGATCTCTGCACCACAAAACCCTCCCAGACCCAGGGCTTATCTCTTGAAGAAAATGCATACGTTTGGCTCACTGCAACCTCCGCCACACAGATTGGAAAAAAAAAAAGAAGAAAATGCATACGTGCTCTGGAAGGGATGCGTAATGGCTATGGGTGTCACAGTTTTTATTTCTGCAACTACAAGAGTTGTTTTGGAGGAAACTTAGAATGAATAGGTGTTCCTACATAAAGAGTAATCTATCAACTAGACATTTTGGAGGCATTCCTGGACTCAGGGTTACTCAGAAATTACATGGCGAATTAGCATTTAAAATAAAGTTATTCTCGTTCCCACAAGTACAAGTGTTCACTGACATCCAATCCACTTCTTCTAGCGATGTGGAAGACTCCTTCCTGGAATATGGGCAGGCTCATGAGTGTAGCACTGGTCAATGAAATGTGAGTGGATGTGGCTTATGTATCCAATTCTGGGCTTAGACAGTTAAAAGCCCAGACACGATTCTTCAGTTTCTTTTCCTGTGTCACAGAAACCAAGAAATTCATATGTTTTGCAAGCTGCAGTTATAAGGTCAGGGTGAGGGGGGCCCATGTGGGCCTGGGCTCTTGAGTGACTGTGGAGCAGAGCTGCACTGACTCTTATCCATTGGTAGCACAAGTGAAAAATAAACTTCTGTGGTGTGAAGTCACTGAGATTCAGGAGTGGTTACCAAAGCAGAGCCGAGCTCAGTGGCTCTCAGTCTGGACCCAGGTGAGTATCTGAGGATGCTTTACAGATGCAAACCCTCAGCCTTCACCCTAGGCAAGCTGAATCAGAGGCTGAGTGTGGGGCCAGCAATCTGGGTTTTAACAACTCCCCCAGGTAATTCTGATCTAGCTCAGGCTTGAGAACCACAGCTGTAATTGATCTTGAATGAAACAGGTGCCAGAAGCCTCAGGTGAGATCCCACTCTCCAGTTACACAGGGAGCTTGCCCCAGACGCCACCAGTGTTTGGGATGATCCATTCTGCTTTACTTCTTTCCTTTGTAGAGATATTTAAGCACTAAACACCTGAGAATATTTAACTACAAATACACTGATGTGGTTTGGCTGTGTCCCCACCCCAATGTCATCTTGAATTGTAGCTCCCACAATTCCCATGTGTTGTGGGAGAAACCTGGTGGGAAATAATTGAATCATTGGGGCGCTTTCCCCCAGACTGTTCTCATTGTGGTGAATAAGTCTCACGAGATCTGATGGTTTCATAAGGGGAAACCCCTTTCGTTTGACTCTCATTCTTTTTTTGCCTGCCACCACCGAGGACGTACCTTTGGTCTTCCCTCGTCTCCCACCATGATGGTGAGGCCTCCACAGCCCTGCTGAACTGTGAGTCAGTTAAACGTCTTTGTTTTGTAAATTCCCCAGTCTCGAGTATGTCTTTATCAGCAGCGTGAAAACGGACTAATACATATACTAAGGCCCAAGCTACTTACCCAAAGTTAAGAAATCACCCGGAAATAAGTTCCGTTGTAGCTTTAAGATGGTGAATGCTTTCTAGATCTTCCTGGGTATGACTGAAACCATCAGGTTCTTTGTGCTCTTTCTCATTCTTTGCTTGAGAGCCCCTCTCTGAAGCAGAGAAGAGCTTGATGATCCCTATTTCACAGAGGAGGGAAGGTATTTATCCACAGTCTGGAGACACAGCTTTGCCTTGTATACACAGCCCTAATGCTGTGCCTCACGCAAGCAGTATTCAGTAAAGGGCTGAAGAAAAATGATACAAAGACATTTGCTGGCCTCACACATTGCTTAATTGTCTGAGCTTAGCTGGGTCTCAGTCGGGTGCTCATCGCTGTGCCCGGGCGGGTGCCCCCAGAACTGAGGTTGAGGGCGGAGGCACAGCTAAGGGTAGACACGGGAAGGACAAAGCAAAGGACTGGGAAGGAACAATCGGATCCAGCCCTCTCTGAGCTTTTGCAAGGCAGAGCCGTCCCAGAGAAGTGAGAGCCTGTGGTCAGCAGGGGGCAGTGTTGTTCTAACAAATACTTCAATAATGGCTTGTGAGAAGGCGGCCCGCGCACCTGAGCTTTGACAGTACTGATGGAATTGAATTGATGGAGGCCAGAGGGTCTGGTCCATTTAAAAAACAAAAACAAATACTGGGCATTTTCTGTATAATTCCTTCAATTTTTCTTGCTGCAAAATATTATAATAAAATTTTGGAAGAAAAAAGAGGATGGAGCCTTAGGCTGTGCCTGTCTCAGTCCTGCGGCTGGGGGGTGGTGCACCCATCCGGGTCTGGACCGTAGCCCCTGGGGGCAGTGCTGTGGGTCATCACGGAGCGTCTTATTCTTGATACTCATCGTATTCTCCCTGTCCAGAGGTGTGCCCCTGCCCGCTCTCTTCTTTGCTTGCTCCCCTTTCTTCTCTGCTATTTCTCCCTCTTCCTGTCTCCCTCATACTCTCTCCTCTCCCTATCTAAGTGTGAGTCAAGTGGATGGCTCATGAGTCAGCGGGACCGTACTTCGTGTATGAGGGGGTAGGTGCGAAAGACACCACAGATACAGTCCCTTCAGAGTTTATAGTCTTGGGAAGACAAACCCACAGAGGCAGAACTTAGAGAAGGCAGGCAGGAAAACACTGAAATCATGTTCTCTGGGCCATAGGACACACGCAAGTTCGAATCTCGGATTCAAACCTTGGCAAAGGCTCTCTGGTTGTTCAGGACTTCCTCATCATGAGCTTTCTGGAAGGCACTTCTTCCATGTCCAAACATCCTGCGGGGTTTGCCGAGATAGAGTCCATTCCTGTACCCAAGAGACAAAGTGGCGGATTTCTTGATTTGGCTGTGAGGGGGTAGCTCAGCTCAGCTCAGCTCAGCTCAGCTCAGCTCTTCCAATAGGTCTCACAAAAGCCTCCTTGTGGTATTCTATAATCCATCCTTCCATCTACCTGAACCATTCCAAGGCTCTATGACCCAAGGGTGACCCAGATTTGGGTCCAGCTTCCTAGGACCACACCATCCAGAGGCAGAACTCAGCCAGGTTCTAAATCAGCCTGGCTCCATGACCCCAGACACTAGCTTAGCCTCCTGAGAAGGAAGCCATTTCCTGCTACTCTGCTGCCAGAAGCCAGGATGCCCCATCCGGAACTGGGTATGGGGAGATGAGAGACACCACTAGCAGCCATGGCTACACTGGCATTAGGAGATTAATGAGGCTTTTTGAATAACAAATGTAGCTTCAGCCAACTGTTGGCAATTAGAGCAAAGCCATGCTGTGCTCTGGTTCTGTCAGCTGAGACCTCCAAAGGAGCTTTACAGCAGGAAGGACTAGACTGGAAGGGAAAGAGTTGCAATTCCACCTTCCACATTCCAGGCCGGCGCTGGGCTAAGTCTTCTCATAACCATCTTTATCTGATATCAGGTTGAGAGACATGCAAGGCGATGAGGGGCCTTGAGAGGTCATCTCGTCTACCACCCTGCCTCCACTCAGGACCACACAGCGGTGCTTCTCAAGGCTTAATGTGTATATAGGTCACCTTGGAATGCTGATATAGGTCCCAGGTGAATGCTGATGTTGCTGGTCCAGGAACCATTTTGAATAGCAACATCCATGGGGGGGGGGGGTGGAGAAAGAGAGGGGGAGAAAGGCGGGGAGAGAGAGAGATGGGTCAGGGGAGCATGCTTTAGAGCCCAGAGCACATTTATTTCATTAAGTTGAGATCTTAGTCTTTATAATTCATTCATCATTTATTTCATCATTCATTCAACAGCATCTACTCTGCTAGGCAGCTGAATTCACATGTATTGGTACAGAGAAAGAAGGGTAAAAATAGCCTGGGTTAACCAGAGAGTCCCCCCAGGATATGGGAGAGGCCTGGGGGAGGCAGAGTGGGTGCAGGCCTGGGCCGCTAGGGTGGGCTGCTGCAGGCTGGCAGATACTGCTGCTGCTCCTCCCTTCCCGGAAGGCCCTTCCAAAGCTGCAGGGACTGCAGGCCCACAGCCAAGGCAGGCAGGGGGCAGGGAGAAGTAATGTTCACATCATCTTCTCTTTAAGAAAGAAAATGCGGCCGGGAGCGGTGGCTCAAGCCTGTAATCCCAGCACTTTGGGAGGCCGAGGCGGGTGGATCACGAGGTTGAGAGATCGAGACCATCCTGGTCAACGTGGTGAAACCCCATCTCTACTAAAAATACAAAAAATTAGCTGGGCATGGTGGCGCGTGCCTGTAATTCCAGCTACCAGGGAGGCTGAGGCAGGAGAATTGCCTGAACCCAGGAGGCGGAGGTTGCGGTGAGCCGAGATTGCGCCATTGCACTCCAGCCTGGGTAACAAGAGCAAAACTCAGTCTCAAAAAAAAAAAATAAATAAAAAAAGAAAGAAAATGCATCTTAAAAGCAGTTGGAGCTAATTTGCTCTTCTGTAATCAATCACCCAGTACAGGAAACAAAAACACAGGGAGATTCAAGGCAGGCAGACAGGGAAGGGGACTCTGTAAAGAGGATGTACTTCACTTCATGGGTTTAATAAAATAAATCTTAAGGACCTGTGGCATGGGCATGTGTATGTTTCGAGGAGGGGTAGTGTGTATGTCAGGGGTCCTGTTTAAAATGGTGCCAATCTTCTCCAGGCTTCCAAGCAGTCTCGCCTCATCTTGCTGCTTTTGATGCATATGGGGGTAAAGGGAAACTATTATTTCAATTAAGGCTTCTCTGAGCTCTCACCTCTAGAAAAACAGTCATGTGCGGTGGCTCACACCTGTAATCTGGGCACTTTGAGAGGCTGAGGCAGGTGGATCACCTAAGGTCAGGAGTTCGAGATTAGTCTGGCCAACATGGTGAAACCCCGTTTCTACTAAAAATACAAAGATCAGCCAGGTGTGCTGGTACATGCCTGTGGTCCCAGCTACTCGGGAGGCTAAAGCAGGAGAATTGCTTGAACCTGGGAGGTGCGGGCTGCAGTGAGCCAAGTTTACACCACTGCACTGCAGCCTGGGTGACAGAGTAACAGTCTGTCTCAGAAAAAAAGGAAAAACATGTAGATATCACCCTGGAAACAAGGAGCTTAGGTTGACCTTTGCCTTCCAGCTCGTCACTGGCTACCTTCTACTCCCTCCGAGCCTCGGCATTCCTGTCTGTAGAATGGGGAGATTGTTCCTCTTCCTTCCCTGTCCCACACCACTGAGGTGAGGAGAGTGACAGTGTTACTAAACCTGGTGTAAGGTAAGCTCCAGGGGAACCTGGTGCTTGGGCTATTTCCATCTGAGCCTTGGGGTTGGGGTGAGAACAGCCCACAACAGTGTTGAGTGGTGGCTGTGGAAACAGCCCCCCTCGGGAATGCCATGTGGTGTGGCATGCGTTTTCTAGCTGTTCTGTCCCCACTGCTCAGAGAAGGGTCCCAGCAAGCTCCCTTTCTCACGTGCTGTCTTTTCTTTCTCTTTCTCTCCCTTCTTCCTCATACTGTTTCTTTTACTCCTGTATCTATCACAACTATAGTTTCCAAATTAAAAACTGGGGCATAGCCTGGCAATACGTCAGGGTATTTGAAATGTGGACATCCACAGGCATTCTGGCATGCGCGAGCTAGACCCCCCTCCCTGTGCACCACCTCTGCCTGTGTCTGCTTTGGCCTCCGACCCCATGGCCATATGACGTGTGTTGGGGTCAGCGTGATGCCAAATGCCCAGATGTTTAGAAATGTCCAGATGGTAGATTTAATATTTGCAGTTTTGTATATTCTGGGTGCCCTGCGGACATGGTTCAGTAAAAACAAATACATGAATAAATTTTAAAAACCTCTACAACCGAAGCAGTGAGTTGTTTAGCATCTTGTCTTCAAAACAAGTGGTAGAGCTTGTTTTTTTTTCCTCCCTGCTGGCATTATTTTGGTGGTATGCAGTGCAGACTTCATATAAGCCATCTCTGACCACACTCTCTGAGTACCTTACCAGGAAGAGACTCTTCTATGCAAAGAACACTATGGCTTGGTTTCCTCAAGCCACATGGTCTGTATAACAGTGAGTATGGTCCCCGGTTCAAATCCCTATCACAACATCTATCCGTCATCCACCCACCCACCCACCTGCTTTTTCTCATTCCTTCCCTCCGTCCCTTTTTCCCTTGCTCCCTTTCTCCCTCCTTCCACACTTATATGTCCTCTACACACCCTTCACTGTGCTAGATACTGACCCTTATCTGCTAGGACTCAGGGTTTATTGGGTAAGACAGATGTGCACACAGGAGATATAGGACATGTTCAGGTGCGATTCCTTCCCAGTCCTATCTCTGGCTATTTTCACCTTCTCTTCCTCACTTCATGTCCTGCCACCCTTGCCCCCCTCAGCTTCCCCTGTACCCCCTCCCCCTCCACCACTCCATGTCTACAGGGTGGGAGCAGTGTCTCCTGGAGTTACAAAAATATCAGAGAAGAGCTACTCCTTTGTAGCAGGGCGACCTCCTTCCCAACACATGTGGGTGGCTGGAAGAAAAAGACATTTATAACTACAAGTTTGAAAGGTGTCCTTTTCTCTCCTCTCTCTAGAACATCAAGTTGATGTCTCCCCAAAGAACAGCAGGCCTCCTACCAAGGAAGGCAGCACCTCTCATTGGGGTGGGGAACATTTCTGCCTGCAGAATGTCCTCCCCTTGCATCCCCACCCCCACGTGGGAGCAGATAGACAGGGGGATGGAGCCAGTTTATTTCAGTTCTGGCTGATGTCGGCCTGGTGGGAGAGCGTAACCAAGAAGAGAGGAGGCTTGTGGCTTTGGGAGCTTAATTAAACATATTTACAAAGTCCAGACCTGGTTAGCTAGTGAGGAACAATGAGACGGAGGATGGCATTGCATTATAAGATTAATCAACTAATTAAAGAAAGACTGCAGCGGCCTGGTGGCCCCACTGGGGCAGGAGGCGAGTTTGACAGCTGCTCTTTTTTCATGATTGCCACAAATTTCAGAAGAAAAGACAGCCTGGGTTTCCCCCAGTCCACGAGAGAATACCCCAGGCTGTTGTCCTGTCTAATCGCTCAGACTGCTAGTCAAGTTGTTTTCCAAGCCTGTAGGTCGAATATCATGTTTAGCCAACTGGGGGTAAAAAAAGGGAAAAACAAAAGCTATTTCTTTTTCTATAATCCAAAAAAAAGCACACACATGAGACCATTTATATTTTTTCGAGGGGGGATGCCCCATTCCCAGGAAGAATGGGATAGGATAGGCAGGGGAATTTGGGGAGCTCCCACAAGCAGTTTGCAGAAGAGACTCCCTGGGGAGGGACTGCCTCCCATTGGCCTCCCTCTTGCCCGTTCTTATCAACGTTAGCATGCTGCTCCACAGCTCTGGTTCTCTTGCAATCCGATTACTGTTTGGATTTTTGCACATTACATTAGGTTTAAATGACTGCCCTTTGCCATTGCCTGGGACATAATGAGTAAAAACAGGCCCTTATGCAAAGTTCAATGAAGACCCTGACTTGGTGAAGCAACAAAACAAGTCCCTTGACTCAGGGAGTGGCAGTGGGCGTGAGACCGATAGACCTCTCTTTTCTTAAGACCCCCCCACCACCGTTAACGTTATTTTCTCAAGACCCCCAAAGGCATGCCTCTTTCCTAACCAGGGCCCAAAGGCTCCTGCTCAAAACCAGGAATGAGGCTGTGGAAACACAGTTTCTCCATATGTTGAGAAGTGTCAGTTAGGAGCCCACACCTTCAGTGACAGCCAAAAGCATGAGTGTGTCAGGGCTCCTTTCCCTTGCTTATCTGTACAGCCCTGGGAGGTCTGGGGCCCCAGTGTGCGGGGCATCAGCTGCCTGGGCTTGGTTCTCACAGCTGTCAGACTGCTTCGATCGGAGCTGAGAGGATGCTAAGCTGGTCATGCACGTTTCAGAAAAGGCTCTTGGTATTTTAGTTCCTTCATTTGAAAAAAACAAAAGAAGGGGGATAGCAACATAGTAAAATTAATTCTGCCCACTTTATAAAATTGGCAGAAAAGCAAGGGGAATAACATACTTAGAGAGTCCTAGGTAAACATGACTAATTGTTATCAGGCAGTGCCTTCATTCCTTCCTGTCTGGAATAAAATAAGGAATGAATGACTCAGATTGACCTGGGACTTACTAATTGTGATCTTGGCAACTTGTTGAAACTCTCAGAGCCTCCTTTTTAAATGAGGATGACAATGCTTGAGGTCAAAGTGTGGCTTTTAGCATCATGATCAGGCTTTTGTCCCCTGCCAGTTGCTTAGCCTTGGAAGATTTATTTTCTCATCTGAAAAATGAGATAATTCCTACATCATAGAATTATTCTAGAAACTGATTAAAATCATTTATGTAAAGTTTCCAACTCTGTGTCCGGTACATAGTAAATGCTTAGTATAATAATAACTATATATAAAAATAATCTTGATTTTTCTTTTTCTTTTTCGAGACAGAGTCTTGCTCTGTTGCCCAGGCTGGAGTGCAATGACAGGATCACAGCTCACTGCAGCTTCAATCTCCTGGGTTCAAGTAATCCTCCAACCTCAGTCTCCTGAGTGGCTGGGACCACAGTCATGTACCACTACATCCAGCTAATTCTTTGTTTTTTGTAGAGATGGGATTTCCCCATGTTGCCCAGAAGGATCTTGAACTCTTGAGCTCAAATGATCTCTTGCCTCGGCCTCCCAAGTGCTAGGATTATTACAGGCATCAGCCACCTGGCCCAGCCAAATAATCTCAATTTTTCTTGTTAATAAATGAGAGTATCTAGATAGCATCCTGTACAGTATCTAGCACATGGCAGATAGTCAATAAATAAAGGTCTCCTCCTTCTCTCCTTCCTAAATGAATGAACCAGTCCATATAATAAAAAATCTGGCCCAAATCAGTTTCCTTTTGAACAGAAAGGCGACTGCAGCGTAGAACGGTTAGAGCCTGAGAAGGTCACATACCTTTGAAAACTGCTCCACAGGGTCACTGCTTTCTCCAGGAGAAAAGAAATCGCCGTAGAAAATGAAGTGGGAAGAACAAGGACAGAAAAATCACAACTCCACAGGAAGCACAGGGCTGGCCTCTCTGCGAGGACCCCTCCTCCTCCCCACGCTCAAATACAGTACCTTTCAGTTTTCCTCATGTGCCTCAGAGAGTACTCTGAAAGTCTACGTAGCTCCTCAAATGTCTTTAACATCTACAATTTTCTCCATAAGTTGGAATCATTCCAAAGATATAATTTCAGGCTATTATAAGTACTGACTCTTTAAAATGAATCCATTACTGCTTGTTCAATGTATTTAATGGAATTGAAATTCTATAGTTATCTATCATCGTCCCTTAAAAACTGTGTGAACAAACTGTTCTTTATTTTTTAATTTTTATTTTTTTTTTAAGTTTTGTGCAGGCAGGGCCTCCCAGTGTTGCTCAGGCTGGTCTTGAACTCCTGGTTTCAAGAGAACCTCCCACCTTGGCCTTTCAAAGTGCTGGGATTACAGGTGTGCGCTACCATGCCCAGCCTCAAACTGCTATTTAACATCGAGAAATTTTATTTCATTCTCTAACCTTCTTAAACTCATCTTTGTATTCTAACTCCCACAGAATTTTATTCTAATGTGGTATGTTTTTATACTTGACATTCTTTTTTAAGTGTATAGTTCAGTAATGTTAAGTTCATCCATATTGTTGTGTGTAATCAGAAATTTTAATATTAATACATTTCCATAAGTTTCCAAATGTTAAAATTACTTCTTCAATGAGTGATCATTATAATTCAGTGTACATATTACCAAAATAACATAAATATAACATAAATGTTGTCAATGCTAACTTAAACATAGTAGAAATTTATTGGGACTACATCTCTTAAGGAGATTCGTGTGATCCTCCAATTAGATAATAAATATTCCTTCTTGCAGAATGAGTAAGGATATAAATCAGTTCTGTTCTCCATTGAAAATTTGTTTTGATTTTATTGATATGCACATTGATTAATTTTGCTTTCATGCATAAGTTCATAGGAACAGAAGGTGTTTTCTTATGGTAACTTCATCAATTATTTGAACTCTTTCACACAGTTACCTATCATCGAAAATTTTCTCTTTCAATTGTATTGAAAGAGAAAAAGACTTCCTAAAGTATTTGTTGCCATAAGTAGAGCCATTTACTTTCTCAATTTCTGGGAATATCCCAAAAGCCTTTTCCAATATTTATTTATGTATTTCATTTATTTATTTATGAGACGGGGTCTCACCCTGTTGCCCAGGCTGGAGTGCGATGGCATGATCTTGGCTCACTGCAACCTCTGCCTCCCAGATTCAAATGATTCTCCTGCCTCAGCCTCTTGAGTAGCTGGGATTATAGGTGCCCGCCAACACGCCCAGCTAATTTTTGTATTTTTAGTAGAGATGGGATTTCACCATGTTGGCCAGGCTGGTCTCAAATTCCTGACCTCGTGATCGACCTGCCTCAGCCTCCTAAAGTGTTGGGATTGTAGGGGTAAACCACCATGCCTGGCCCCAAAATTTGTTTAATGACTATTAATTACATCTTCTATTTATTTTTTTAACTTAGTGGCAACTTGTCTCATCCACCTTATTGAGAAAAGATTGAAAAATTAAACTATTGTAAATTTCAATATACCTTTTTCAATGCATTTTAAAAAGTCAGATGCATTTGTTTTACTGCATGCTTCAAGTGTCTTTTGTCAAAACCATATAGCTCAGATTTAGCTCATTCAATTTATGGAAAATGCCTTGTGCATAATCTGTTTAGCAAAGCTAGTCTTTCTTGTCAAACCATTCTGGAAATCAGACTGACTTTCTGTAATAAGAAGTCTGAACTTAAATTTTGAATTCAAATCAACATCATAGATTTGAAGGTGTATTATAAAAACCACGATAAGAAGGATTACTTCTAATCTTGTAAAAAGATTAGTAAAAAGCAGTCAAGATTGAAATCATGAAGCATATAATATAATTAATCTTTTACGGCAAATTAGAAAAGCGAGAATAAATTTATATGCTGTTTTTCATTACTTAGTTTGTC